CAGAAATTAAACAAGGAGCCCCAGTGTGCTTGCTTAGTTGACGCAGCCACGCCCAGCTAAAAACTCGGCTTGGTTTGGTCCTGTATTCGAGTCACGCAGGCTCGCGAATCGCCTGAGAATTGGAATGAAAAAAGATCATTGCAGAAAGGTCATTGATAAAAAATTGGCAGCAATGACTGTATATTATCTCATACTCCTGAAGACAGGCACACGAATGCGTCGAAGTTGGTAGTGTCGGCAAAACGAAGGTTTCCCGAACCAAAAGTTAGAGTAAGTTGGAACAGCCTTCATTGTGAGAAAATGAGCTGTACAAGAGCTCTGGCACACACTATCTACAAGCTGTGTCCCCAGGCAAGTTGTCGGAATGTGTGGAAGCAGTTGGGAAACCTTCACTACATGATGTGTCTTTATGGCCAATTAGATAAAATGGAGCGCGTTGATTGGTTTCGAGCTTGCACATGCTTCAAACAGTGAATCGACAGCGAGCGTGAGAAAGAACGAGGGTGCGCAGCCCGCAAGGCTTGGTGAGCAAAGACAGAACGAAACAGCGCAGTTGTGCTAAGTACGGGCTACCACCGATGGCCGATTCTAGTAATCAGGAGAGTTCACAAAAATCATGCTACCATTACATGGAAGTATCGTCATAACTTTAGATTTCAGTGGGAATAACGTCTTTCTCAAGCGAATTAGTTTTCCGCAATCTCAATATCACATCAGAAACATCTCACACAAAGGGATGCTGCATGCCATTACATAGGCTGGGAAGGATAAAACTACGTTGCCGATGCTGAACAAGGCAATGGAGTGATACTTAACGTTTAGACCCTCGACTTGCCTATGCAAGTTCTCGAGTTATGAGCTCTGCAGCCATTTTACATGCCGAAACGCCACTCAGTGTCGAGGCCCTATGAATAACCTGGCGAATTATACAGCAGTGCTTTATAGGGTCACTTGAACCGACCGATTAATCCCAAAGTTTTGGACGATCACCCTTAGTCGACTTTGCCGTCATTTTCTGTTGTTGGCCGAAATAATACTCGTTGCGGAGGTCAGCTCAAGCCGTCTGGACAAATAATCGCTACGTTCTTCACATGACACTGTCAATGCCACGCAACAGGGTGGTTCTCGTAATTCTTCTCCATAAGCATCCTCTAATACTACCGCTCCGTCGGCTCGGATTTATGTACTCCGGGTCTCTTTTGCAGTGGGTTACCATAGCTTTGTGGCACTGAAATGTCTTGCACGCGACAATTTGGGTGCGGGCAGGGGGGGAGGGGGTGCATTTTGAATCTTGCGAACAAAAACGCAGTCAGACCCACAGGGGATTGCCAGGCTGGACATCGCGAATCCAGCTGCCATTGAAAACTTAGCTGTGGAACTATTAACAAAGTATAATACAGACATTCTGACTGGCCGTAGTTTGAAAACCAGGAAAGATTTTGCGGCGACGATGAAGGCACTTGCTAGTGACAACTGAACTGTTCTTGGTAGCAAACGTCAGCAATACCTCGTCACTATCCCATCCACAGCCAAGCACAAGACGGCCAATAAGGTGACTGTTTGAAGAGTTGGCTGATCCTGTCCGGCCATTCCAATTGTCTGTTGTTCGAACTGTTTCTAGTCATGAGAATTACTCATACTGTGCGAAGTATTTAGCAGTTTTTCCAACTTTGTACTTATTTTGAAGGCAGTTACGTCTTTCTGAAACGCAGCCTATGCATTACAGGAGTGCGCGAATGCTAAAAAGGATTTAGTACCAAATGAACATTTTGAATTACAACCCAAGTTTTTAATTTCTACAAAGATATCCGGCTGGAATTCGGTTTGCTAGGGTACACAAAGTTGCCTAGTACCATGTTTCGCGTTTGGCACTATCGCAACCCTACTCAAGTAATCTTCCCTGTTTGGATGCGTAATAAGACATCGCAGGAACCCCGTCATCTAGGGCATGCTAGGTCGACAAAATGGCAGACACAGAACGTTTATAAATCGAAAGATTTTAAACTCTATGGTTACTTGACTGGATCTATATTTAAAAGACAAGCCTACGCAACTGAAAAAAATTGTCAAAATTGATGTAAGATCAAAACACCAAGATGATAACAAGTTTACAATTTTCGTTAGAATTACTGAAACCTGAGTAGTAAGAAACCTTGACAGAGATTGATGTTAGATCCTGAGAAAGTGTGGGTGGTCGCAAATTATTGGTCAATTGCTGGGTTCTGTAACACATGCCTGCAAAGCTCCTTCCGAACAATGGCAACTAGCCAACCAGGAGGGTATTTTCGTCCAGGAATTTGTAAGGGGGAACCTCCAAATTCAATGGAGCAGGGCCTTTGCGAATACGGCCAGAGGCATCGTAGTGACTACCATGACAAGGACAGTAGAAGCCGCCTATGTAATCCCCTGCGTTCGCCATCGGGACGCAACCTAGAAATAAACCAAACAAACACAAAGGTCAACAGTCAAAATGAGTCGTTAGGTCAGACGGACTTCTGATGTTTGGGATTAATACCACGAATTATGCAAAACCTAAGTTAAAATAGCACAGCTCCTGTACGCACTCATCACTAATGGAGGATGGTAGATGAATTGACAATTCGGCACACTAACTTGCGATATCCTCCGGTTGACTTGGCAGGCATTTTACAAAAGTTCGAGAACTCGTGTGCATGTGCGTAAACAAAATGATTAGGGTTTCTTACACTGATCCGGTCCCTGTGGTATTAACGGTGGAAATGATTAATACTTTCCGCTGCTCTGTCAGAAGAGAATTCAATGACGACCACCTACTGGTACAATTTACACTGACTAGGACTGCGCAGCCAGGCCGGACTTCTGCGTTAGGATAAGAGTTTACATGTAGGGTGGCACCTTGCGAGGTCTCAGCATTTACCCAAACTTCTCTGTAGCCCTAGTATGTGGCATCAAAGTGTGTCCTGATTATCAGCCACGCACCAGTAACTGATGATGTTAGGCAGCATGCCTAACTACCCGACAGAGTATAAGTGCAATCTGATGTGCGTGTGGGGCAGATGGAAGTTAGGCATGCTGAAGCATGCGTGGACAGGAAGCTTGCCTGAGTCAACCACGGCCGTCCGACACCCACGCCCAACCATGGGAAAGGTGACATACAATCCTGTAGATAGCTGAATTGCGTTCTTACTAAATAAAGGTCGTAACTCGTAGCGGAAAGTAGTAGGTGCCTGAGATGTCAAGGCATCACAATTCATGGATGTGCCGCCGAACTTTTCAGGGAGAAGGGCCCAAATAATTCGACCTAAAAGTACTGGTAACCACGTGGTCCGCAGATAGACCATACATTGTGGATGCTAAGCACACGGCTGAAAACAACATAACTTGCTCCCCTACCTTCTCTTTAGTGGCCCCTATTCAGAGCATCCAATAGTCAACAGGTCAAAGAGACGGTATTGGTTGCCAGAGAACTTACCGGTAACAATAATAACTGCATCGTAGCTAGAAACACCCGCTTTTCACAACAATGACAAGTAAATTAGACTGCGACAGGTTGCATATCTTGGAGCTGTCGTATCGCAAATGAACTCTATGAGGCTGCAGCTGTCTTCGCCGACAGAATCAACTTCATTAAATCTCACGAAGGCATTCACTTTGTGGACTGGAATTTCTTATAATTCTTGGCATCTACGCCACCACATTGACAAGCCATGCCAACGCGAAAGAGAAGTCCTACGGGATTTCATAAACCCCCTTTGTGTTCGTGCCGAGGTCAGATAAACTGATTATTCTCGGTGACTTCAAGTCCGAGAAGGTACACATTAAATTACCAAAAAAGGGGCGTTTGGTCGCGAGGAATCAGGTTGCCGCAGTGGTAAATGGCTCCTTCTGCTAAGGATCTTCAGAGAACGAAACTTACTTATGAACCAGTTCCCAACTGCAAGAAGATAACTTTGATGTACCATCGATAGTAACAGTGACAACCGCTGGGTTAATTCTCTCCCAAAAATGCGTTCGCCATAACGTGCTCGTGATAAAGGTGGAGCGAACTTTTTTTTAATTTTGGAACGACCACCATTTTGATGGGGC